TTCCCTACAAGAAGCAAAAAATATTTTATGGAACCAACCAATATAACATATTACACGTAGCAGCTGTTATTCTTCCATTGTTATAGTTAAAAAGCAAAAAGTACACAATGTTATATCTTGGTTTATGGAAATTACAGTAACTAGATAGAAATGCCCTATGGAAATAAGCTATCTAGTTAACTCAAGGTTAGAAAGGGAAAGAATATTCAAATCAAGAGATAAATGAGGATATTTGGATCTTAGAGTGTCCTTGATTTAACCCACATGGCTGTACTTCTACTCTGCTTGATCATTTTAGATGTTCTTATTCCAGTCACCAACAGGTATTGATGAAATTTTTCAACTATGAATTAAGTCATCAGGGCATTTATAGTGAACTTACCTATACAATAACATATAAACTATATAATCTTCCCCTTTTTTTTTTAAATTCTTAGTGGTGGTAGCTTGATAGTTAAGCATACAGATTTGTAAGACTTGGATTCCAGTTTTTCTGCTACTTGAGATGGTTCAAACCCACCTATGGTCTGCTTCAGCCCAATCACTGGTAATAAGACAAAAAGAATAGTAGAAGGAGATTCTCAGTGCCTTTGGTTTGAAGCTCTTGGCATTGAAAAATTGTTTGGACATCACTCTAAGTTAGGATATTTACTTGGACATCAAATATCTTCAAGATTTGCTGATCAGAAATGCCTTCAATTTTTGAGCTAAATTTAAAGGTGAATCACAGAGAAATGTGTTTCTCACATGGACTTCAATTTTTCTGGTGATGACTAACTATCTGTTCTTGCAAATTTGACAGGTGAATGGCTGCCTACAGTAACTTATATCCTGTGTTAAACCAGGCACAAAAATAAAGAGAAATAAGTCATCTAGAACAGTAAAGTCATCTAAACCAGTAAAGTCTTCTTTCAAATTCAAGGGATCTGTACTAATACATATGGATGTTGCATAGCTCTGAGGATGTTACACTCCTGTTACTTTACTTTTCCTGATGTTTAATTTGTCAGAATATTTTAGAAATGAAAGAAGAAGGAATAAATATGTGTGGTTAAATCTTAAAGAACATGTAAAGAAAAAGCAAAGGAAATTGAACAATGTATTTCTCATATTGTGGAAATTTTAATCTGTGGTCTCAGTTCAGTCCCTTCCAAGAATAAGCAAATTTGACCTTGGATAGATATAAAAGATAAGAAAAAGTATTATTAAATCTATCTTTTTTTTTTTCCAAATACATATTTTCCCATTAATTTTTCTATAACTTGTCTCATATACAGCTTGTGTTACTTGTCCTGGGGTTTTTTGGTTAGTTTGTTTTCATGGAGGCATTAGGATTCAAAGAGTCAGGTACCTTTGTCCTTAAAACTTTTGACAAAAACAAACTTTTAATTTTCTTATCCTGAGCTTTCTTGTTGTGCTGACAAATTCCAAATGACTGATTGGAGAAAACTCCACATCGCACTCTTCCAAGCTTCCTTTTGCTACTTTCTTTGCAGATCTAGATTATAACACTTTGTAGGTATGGTCATAGGGGTGACTTGCTGAATCACTATTGAATTAGAACTTCGCAGGTGGTAGAATACAAGCTGGTCAGAATTTTATTAACCTAGAAAGTTGGTCTTTCCTTTGGAGTTTAGATCATCTAGCAGTGTAGTCTAAATTAAAAAAAAATTCAACTGAGAAACAGATACTGTGGTCTCACCTGAGGAGATACCAGATAATATCAAAGAACTGGTAATAGTCTGTTTGAAAATAAATTTAACAGGCTCGTTGAATGTACTGAGGTTTAGCATGTAAGTGCTCTTAAGTGGTGTGCTTCCATCAGTGATGATGGTGAAATGGCCTATATTAAAAGCTCAGACTCTGTGCTTGCTTCATTGGTGAAGAAAATGTGGAGCTCTTGGTTGAACAAGTGTTCTTGTAATACCAACAAATGGCAACTTATTCTCTAATGCAGGCCAGCTGAGTCTCACAAGTTCTAAAACATTCCTATAGACAGACTGGCCTCCTGTAGATGCAACTTTACTGCTTTGGGCACCAAATTGTTACACCTACCTGGGATTTCATTGGATTTTATAGAAAGATAATTTTGTCTGGTGTTAGCCTGAGTACCTCTACACAGTGCTGTCCATCTTGGATAGACAACTTAGAGGACCCACCACACACATTTATTGGTTAGGACATATGCAGTTATGTGGTTATTGTTTCAATAGCTGTGTTTACCAATCCAATAATTCGTGTTCTGTCATATGGCACAATCTGTACAAGCCAAGGGCTGTTAAGTGTATTCCAGCATTAAATAAAGTATGAACATGTGAAATCATGTGAAATAAAGTATGAACATGAGAAGCTAATGCTTACCAAGTTAATTTGTATAGTGCTTTCCCAATCCTTCTCATTGTTCACTCCAGCATTATTAACCACAATATCCAGCCTTCCAAAGTGTTCAATTACTTTTTTGAAAGCACCTATGGTAAGATCCAAGGGTGAAATTTCTTAGCACTTATAGAAAGTAAGATACAAAAATACAGTGCATGCATACAAATTAATATTTTATTAGTCTACCAAAATGTCTTCACTGTTTTCTTAACCACTAATGAGCAACATGCAATTAAATTCTTTATCTAACCGTTCACTAATATTAAACATATTCAGGAAAACTGAAAGGATTAAGATACCATAGTCTCCTTTTCATTCAGTTTTATAATGCCTGATAACAGGAGCTAATGAAAGTTCTTAGCACCCATACATTTTGTATTAGATAGGATGTTTGGCACCCTAATTATATAAATTAGTAGCTTGATTTGTAACAGTTTGATATAGCTAGTGAATTCAAGATTTGGCACCATCTATTTTAAATGAAAAATAAAAGCTTCATGTGTTCAGAACAATTTTCTTGGTTGAGTCTGAATTTAACCTAAGAACACAACTTTTATTCAGTGATATAACTAATATGAATCTTTCAACTACAAATAATTCATCATAATTCTTGTTTAAATTTATCCATTTATGAAGAAATTGTTATACATCCTACTTCTTAGGTAACTCTAATAATGTGTTTCTCAAATCCAGATCTTCTTCCTTCTGTTGATGAAAATAGTGACCTGCCTTCCAAAGAATTTCAAAATAAAGAACTGGGAAACTTCCACAATGACATTGTGTCCTTCCAGGTGACAGTGTTCGAACTAAGATAAAACATGTGTATGGAAAAACATGATGATGTCATAGTGATGAGCAAACTCATCTAGGCTGGCTCAGCTTTGACAGGATAGTTGGATGAGATGACCTCCAGATGTTCATTCCAGACTAAGATTTTCCATGACTGCAGACATTATCTGACATGTATAGCTGTTTTGTTTTTCCCTCCAAATACTGTTCCTGGTCACTAAATATTTATTATGTAAACCAAGACACCCCCCCCCCCCCCCAATACTGTTTTAAAAAACATTGTTTGGTGACTGACTAAAAATTTAGACTATTTCAGGTATACTGAAATTATGCTTGACAGGCCTTAATATGAAACCACTTCACTAAAAGGTGACCCCAGGACAATCTTAATTCTCTGATCTTTAGTCTTTGGCAATTAGTGTCAATCAGGAACATAGCAGCAGCTTTGAGACATCTACCTTTTTTGCAGCAGTTGCAGGGGTTTACAAAGCTTTTTTCTTGCACTAGATGGTCGGTACTGTTACAACCTTTTCTTTGCCTGAATGCTGCAAGTCCAACACAGTCATCATCTTGTCACCAGAACAAGAGCTGGGCAGCTGATGGGAAAGGTTTTATTTGTCCAACTGCCCTTATTGTACAGATTTTTCTAATATTCTTATTCTGTACCAGAATATTTTAATATTACTAAAGCCTCTATTTTTGGCTGTCTGTCTTTTTGGCTTTTGTTATGTTTGTTGCTAATTCATCCTCTGGTTTCTCAACTTAACTCTTCAACGACTTCTCATCTTTCCAATCCTGCATCAGCAAGGGCAAATTAAAACCTTTGGCTTTATTAGGAGCAGAACTGATTATTTAACTTAGTATCAATGAGTAAAATAAATACAATTTGGGTCCTCAATTAGCTTCCAGATTTTGGAAACTGGCTCTCTGATTCGCTTTTAAGACCTCTCTAAATAACATCTTTCATCAACCTAATTCTTAATAGAATATTTTGCCTTCAAAAAGCACCATGGGTAATAGTACTTTGCCAATTATTTATTAAATTCACACAGTCTCGACTAATTGTACTTTTCTAGTTTACACATTGACAAAAGAGCCAAATGCTGCATATCTATGTTAAAATAAAGAATGATTACCAAATTTGGAATATTTCTGATAAAAGTTTACCTGCCTACAGTAATCCCATCTATTACCTATCCACAAAAAGAGGAATCTCATTATAAAATTTTAATAAAGTTATCACTCACACATCAGTGAAAACTGACTTGTTCATCCCTTTTCAAATGTAGACTAATTCTGTGTTTACATTGCACACATAGTTAGTGCTTATGGAATCATAAAAATTAAAAGCAGGTGATCGCACGATAAATATTGAATGAAGAAAAATGAAAAATGAAGAGGAAGATCTATTTTAAAGAAGAGGTAAGAAAAAAGTGGAAAGTAAGTGCAAACATCAGTTATATGTGAGCTTCCTAAATATTCATGGAAAGAAAAAGTAAATGTATGGTGATTTTTCAAAAGTGGGGCAAGATAGAAGATTTGGCAGGGGGCACTGGAGAAAAAAGCACAGGCAAGACTTGAAAGTAAATGAAACAGCTGGTTTCCTACCCATAAGCCTTATGTACCTACAGATACTAGTTCTAGTACTGTGACTTTTTTCATACCAAAAGGGCTAAAGTTAAAATAAGAGGAACTTCATTCACCCCCATGACTTTTAGCATAAAAAGCAAGTACAGGACTTGACACATCCACTAAGAACTTTAAACACTAGGAGTGAAATTAATCTAAGTTTATTAAGTGGTGGCTTACAATTACAAGTGAAAAAATAGGAACATAAAGCAGTAAAAAAACCCCCAACCAACAAAACCGGTAAAAAATACCCCAGAAACCCCAAAGGATTGTAAGACATGATTGCAAATTTATGCTAAGAAACCTGCAGCGGGAATAATGCAGTATCAGAGAAGCATAAGCAGCAGCCACCTGTTCTTGCTCTCGCTCCTTGCGAGAGCCCATTCCGATCCTACTCTGATTGCTCTTTTCCTACTAACTTGGTTCCAAACCCTCCCTCGCAGACCCATCCTGCTCACTCCAGTTCCCAGCACACACCCTGTTGGTCCTGCACTAGCCTGGCACTAGAGAGAGGAGGAACCATGGGAGAGAAAGCACACTGGGGTAACACCCATGCGGCAGCACATACTATTCCTACCCCTAGGATGCTTTTTCTTGCTCCTAGGTTACTCCTCCCACTTGGAGAAAAAGTCAATAATCAACCTAGCTGATAAAAACTTTGTTTGCTGGTTGGGGCAAATCTCAAATTTAAAGTCCAGCATCTGTCTTACAGACAAACAATGTAAAGCTTTGGAATTAGGCATAATCATGCTAGCTCGGAGCAGTGAACAATACTGCTGAATTCTGGACTAGCTGCAACGTTCTGTGAGAGAGGAATGGATATGCTCAATCACCGCTGTTGAGAAATTGGCCAGTGAAGCATAGTGAATAAAAGCAGAACCAAAAATGTTCACATCTAGCCTGACACAAATGAATCTGGGGAAAGGGCACTGAGAAAAGTGATGTCAAAATCTGAATCTGAGTCACTACCTATGAATGTATCTCTTTAATAATGAAACTTCGATGAAGTTACATGCCTGTTATGAAATATTGTGAAGGGTACATTAACATTATATGATACTCTAAGAACTCGTAAGGGAACATGATTTATTTACTAAGTGAAAACATAAATGCAAATCATACATGAGGGAAGATCCTTGCCATTCCCTGCATCTGCAAAATGTGTCCGAAATGTTTTCAACCCATGTTTAACGCTGTGATAAAGCAATGTGCCATCTTTTGCCAATTCTGCTTTCAGCTACAGCAGCACACATTGAAAGTAAGTGTGCTGTATGGAAAGAGCACTGCAGCCCAGAGCAGAATTTATTACTCCTGTGATGAGGGAATGCAGCTTGGAGTCTGTACTGAAACCTCATAAAAAGCAAGTCCGTGCTTTAAAGTTTATATATATTACTCATAAAATAACAATTATCTTCTGCACAGGCTTTAATGCAAAAATGTCACACACAGCACTCAATGGAAATTATTTCTCTGGCTTTTCTTTACGATGCGCCAAGTAACACGGTGAAATAAATACACGCATGCTGGTAGTAATATTTCACATCTGCAGGTTCAGAAACAAATCCTTTTTGAGTCACCGTCAGAAGCGATTGGGAGTAGGCTGTCCTCCAGAAACCTTAATTGCACACTTATTGGTGCAGCAGCCCAGGCTCTTTCAGGTTGCTGCATGTTAAGCCGGAGCACAGCGCTGACAGTTTCCTTCTTACCTTTCAGCTGCTCCTGGTCCGTAACGTCGCACTGGATGAACACCGTCCTCTGCGCTTCAAACTGCTCGTCCAGGGCCGCCTTGCTCTCCTGCCCGGCCTCGGAGTTGCGGTCCAGCAGGGCTACCTGGGCGGGGAGGGATGGAAAGGCTGAGCGGCGGGCGGACGGGCAGGCGGACGGCTCC